ACAACAGAATTTAAAAAAAAAAACATTAACAGACGGCTGTTACGGCCGTAACAGATAAGAAAAATTAGCTGATTTTGAAATTTTAAATGAGCAGTGTTTTGTTTTTACTTGTTAACTAAAGGAATAGTATTGTTTACTTAAGGACATCTTTATCTTTTACCATTCAACGGGTCATTGTAGAAATATACAATTGTTGAAAATTCAAAGTGAAATTAATTCGAGCGTGTAACATAACATCACTCGAATTTTGATTAATTAAAGAAGAAGATGATGAATCTTGAAATCTGAATCTCTTCCAGGTTTTTGATGAATTCCAGTTGCATCGTCCCTTCGTTGCCTAAAATCCAAGCTTTGATTCCTACAATTGCCTTGCGAGTTGCCTAAAAGATTGACAATTTTGGCCTCTTCAATGTGATAAATTGATGATAAGTATGTAGGAGAGGTTCTTCTCAATGACTTCCCACGTTCAGAATTTATGGAGATGAAAATAGGTAAAAAAATCATGAAAAAATTGGTTTCCAAATAGAATTTAAATAAAAATAGGAAAATTACTCTAAAACCTCCAGAATTGGCCTTCGCGAGAGCAGGCATGTTGGTCGCGCACGTGTCATAGGAGAAATTTGCATTCGGTACCCGTGCGCGTGCCATTTGTGAATTGTGGCTTATTTGCACGTGTGTGTTCCATCTTTCCATTTGTGTGCGTTTCAAAACCAAATTTGATTTTTTCGCTGTTTAGTTCTTTTTTTCTTCCAAATTCAATCCTTTAACTTCTAACAATTGAACCCGTAAAATTTTCAATCTTTTAATTTGTAGTTCAAATCAATTATTGAAAAGTTGCAATTGAGTCCTCAAACTTTGACTTTCACCATTTTTCGTCATTTTCCATTTCTTTCTTACGATTCCTTGTCCAATCATCGAGTTTCATCTAATAAACGAAATATAAAATAGATTAGATTGTAATTTATCTAAGGAACAACTAAAATTCAAAATTTTAAAACTAAAATAAGTGTATAAAATACACTTATCACCAACTTATAGTGTATAAATTGTCAAGTCTACAAAGCAAAACATGTGAATACCTATGAAAGATCACTTGCACGCTATTTAATCATTTATTTTATGTCTGAGTTTGTTCATGTTTTATCTTTTACATCCCGAATCCCACTATAGTACTATGGGCTTATATATCAATATGGTTAATAAAAATGCTGTGTTTCTATGAGTCTGTCCCAGTAGCTACAAATTAGAATTTCAGTTTCTTGATCATAGTTCTTACTCAAGAATTCCCACCGACATAAATCACAAATTAGACTTGACCTAGATATATGATGCTCGTTGTGTTGATTCGCAATCGTCGAGCCATCACGATCTCCTGATACTTACCATGTACCGACATATTACCCCAAAAACCCTAGTCTTTGCAACCTAGATTGACAATGAAAAAGCCTAGATATCTATCCAGAGATGAATAAAAATATGGTACACATGTAACGCAATTGCATTATCTTTGTATTATAATCTTTTCAAATTTTATGTCAAAGTACTCATAACATGAACACTATTGTTTTACATAGTTGATCCC